TCAGAGGCCTTTGACTTGCTGCACACAACATATTGGCCTACTCACAACAATACGTGGCTGTAGCATTAGGGTATACCGTGTGTGTGATGCCGTGTCCAAGAATAGTCATTACAGTGAGATTAGCCTCTCATCCCCTGCGAAATAGGCTATTTCCAGAGTGGTGGCTGACACACACATTTATGATTTAGGAGGTTAAGGTCCTGGCTGCACATCACGGGGGTCAAAATCCATCCTTTTTGTTTGAGGTGCATCATGTGTGCATGTGTAGGAAGGCACTTTATTCAAGTTCGCTGACTCTGGTCAAGGTCCCAATGCTTCACCCTTCATTTGTACCATTTATCAATAGTATAATGCAAAACATTGTTTATAAGCAGCTATCTGTTTGAAATATGCTCCTAGGTTAGCGCAGACAAATGCCGTTCAACAAGTGCTCACCTTTTAAAACGGCATAAGCTTTGCATTGTACAAAATCCTCCACAAAGTGTTCTCGGCCTACATCCCAACATAATCTTTTCAATACATAGAAAAGTCAGCCCATTCAGTTTCTCTTAAGCGACAACTTTTGTAAAGCCCTGCTTTGTCACTGTAGCTGACATAATCCAGCTGCTTTCCCCCTGGCTTATATGGTGTGTCTCGTCAAATGTGTTAGTTATGTTTATGTATTATGTCTGTCATTTTCATGTTTTTTCACGTCTGGTCATGTCTGTTTATTTAGATCCTTCATCTCTAGTCAGTCTCTGTGTTTATTGTCATGTCTCGTTTTCCATTTCCTGTTTTATTTTGTACTTACCTCTTGTCTTTCATTCCAGGCCCTGTTTCTTCTTCCCCTTGTGTGTTTTTCCCGTCATCATCAGTGTCCCTGATTGTTTCCACCTGTTCCCACTCATCTCATTTTTAAGTAGTCCTGTCTCTCCCCTGTCCTGTGTCAGTTCCTCTTGTTTGTTTACCCGAATGGTCATGGCAAGCCTCAGCTAAGAGAAGATTGCTTTCACTCATGTCAGGTTTTGTTGTTTTGTTAATTTTGTAGGCTTGAGTTTCTTTCTCTTTTTGTTATGCATAGTTTTTCCTCCTTGTGAGGGCTTTTTGTTAATTCCAGTACCTACTCTGTTAAAAGGAATTTCCTGATCTTTCAAATTAAAAATACTTTTTTTACATTTAAGACTTTGTCTCTGTGTCGTGCATTTGGGTCCATCAGTTTGTGTCGAGGTCCTGACACTGGATGATGTATTTGTTTGCTGCTTTCTAATCTAAAGTAAAACCAACAATATTTTCACTCTTTCACCCATATCTATATAAACTACCTTATATTTTCTAAACCAATCACCAAACGTAGACCTGGTACTTGAAAAAACAATTATGTCCCGTATCATTTACAAAGTAATTTGAACCAAAACCTTTGTTTTCAATTTCCATTTAAACCAACTGCATGTATGAACTAGAGAATGCAATTCCTGAAGAAATTGTTAGTGGGAATGCTTTATGCTGAAAAGCTGACGCTAAACTGCTATGCTGAAATGTAATGTGTAAGAAGAAAGTGCAGAATTTAGATTGAAATGATACATGAACACTGGGGGCTTGAATGTGTGATGAGAGAAGAAAAGAAAGTAAAAAGGCTTGGAAAAGCAGCAGAATATTTGAACTGCAAACTTTTGAACTAACTTGATGGCGAATGATCTGTCACCATGCCAACGACATTTGATGACATCCCATAATACACTTAGATGCGTTGATGGCTGCATCGTTGCCAAACCTGTGAAGTTTTGGGCCGTTTGGAGCATTTTCACTGAAGTTATGAGAAAACCGTGTTTCATGGTGAGCATTGTGTTGCCATGGCAACGGCATTTGAAGAAATCTCAAAACTGTGCCGTAGATGTCTTCACGGCTGGACTGTTAGCACACATGTGAAGTTTGAGTACTTTTTGAACATTTTCATAGGAGTTATTGCGACATCGTCTTTTATGGCGAGGGATGCGCCTCCATGGAAACGGCATATGATAACACCCCATAATTGATGTAGAGCTGTTGAGGGCTGGACCGTTAACCATTATCTGAAGTCTGGTGCTGTTTTGACCCTTTTCATTGGCGTTACGACAACATCGCTGTTTTATGGCGAGGGAGCGTTTCCATGGAAACGGCATATGGTTAGATCTCGACTTTGGTGTAAAGGCTGTTGAAGGCATGGACCGGGTGATATAACAACCGAGAGTTTGGGGGACCGATCGGACGCCTGTCCATTGGATTAACAGCGACAGTCGTGCTTTTATGGCGAGGGAATGCGTGTTTGCCATCGGCAAAGTAGCCCAACTGGTGCGGCATCTAAGAATTTGCCGGTAAATGCTGTTGAAGGCATGGAGCGCGGGGATATACAGGTGAAGATTGTTGGGAANGTCATAGAAGTGTTCAAATCTGGATCAGTCTGTATCAGATCCGTTGCAGCCCCTTTTTAAGAGATTTGGGTATGGAGGAAAATAGAGAGGGTTGTGTTTTCTGACACTTGGTGAGTTTCCTGGAACACCGGGGACACATATTCATGTAGAAAAGACGTACAAAAGTGCATTTTGCATGAAAAGGTCACCTTTAAGTATATTTTGATGATAATACTTTTGTACTTTTACTTGAGTAACATTTGAATGCAGGACTTTCACTGGAACAGAGTATTCCTACACTCTGGTACTTCTACTTTTACTACAAGATCTGAGTACTTCCTCCCCCTCTGAATATGGTACAGTGTGTAAAACAACCCAGTGACAGTGTTAGTGCTGACGGTCACTATGGATACAGTGAGGCTGATTCCCCCTGATGTCTCTCACATAGCGAGGTGCTGCAGAGGGTTTGTAAGCACTGTAATGGAAATTATGTTTATCAGAGAATTGAATGCTCTGATGTTACATTTTAACATATAAATAATACAATTCTGTAAGCCTTCCATGTTGAGTGACAGTAGATCTCAGCCCCCAGGAAGGTGATCAGTCACAAGGTGCCATGTGACCAGAAGGTGATCATGGGTCTCTTGTACTCTGATAGGGTCATCATGGGTCTATTGTACTCTCATCATGGGTCAGTTATCTCATGACTAAGCATGTATTCAATAGGCGCCTTCACACCGGAGTACTTTTCCCATTATAGTTCCGATACAGTTCCGAAAATGTGCGTTCACAGAGAGCAGGGACTGAGAAGGGAGAAAAAGGTTCCCATTTCTGATTGGCTGGGCGGATTGCAAACCACGCCCTGTAAAACTCCCAAAAAGTTTTGTGAAGCCGCCATTTTATTTGTTGGCATTAGCATTATTAGCATTAGCATTAGCCCAGCGCACCAACGCAGAGAGAATAACTTATGGCAACACAAAATAAAACCTGGGAGCGGTGGAGATGAGGAGGTGTCGGCGTTCTGGCGATTTACTCGAAGGCTTCAGTAGAAGCTGTTGGGAGTCCCAGCAGCTTCTACTGAAGCCAGTCCCCAACTCCGGGGACTTCCGGCCGGGGACTTCGGGTGGCAGTATACGCCGTGAAGTTGTTTGCGGCCTGCCAGTAAACCCAGAGCAGAAGAAGAAGAAGTGACGTCAGCGGATTCATTTGCCTAATCCTCCCCCAGGGACTTATGGATGGATGTTCTTTCAAAAGTTCAGGTGTTTAAGATTAAAGAACCAGAAAGACATCTCTTTGACTAGTTCATTTCAATAATTTCCAGCACAGCACTGACCGGTGACGGAGGAGCTGGCGGACCACGAGGGGATGGTGTGTCTCCTCTGGTAGAAGAGGATGTAGGCTCCACGTGTGCAGACCTCCGCCTCCGGCACCGCCTCCGCACTGCTGTCATCATAACTGTACCACTGGCCATCCACTGAGTTCCTGCAGAAAGCTGCAATCACCACCACAAAGGAGAGAAATAACCAACGTGTGAGAGTGGAGGACAGGAGGGGCAATCAACTGAGGTGGAGGAAGTGTTATTATGTTACTGCAGGGATGGCAAAAGAATCAGAATCAGATTCAGAGTCCCACAGAGGGGAAATGACATTGTTACAGCAGAAAAGAGCCAAAGACAGCTTAAGCTTGTGTTTCCTGTGATTTCAATAACACTTTAATAATGTTGCCGCCTTGGTAGTCTCTGTAGATTAATTGGTGCAGCAGTTTTATGTTTTATGAATTTTCATTGCTCGAGAATCGTAATGTAAAAAAAAGTTGGATTCAACTTTAATCTAAATCAAGAGTGGTGCAGGAATGAGTCATAAAACTAGGAAATGTGTCAGCAGTTTGCCACTTCCTGTTGAAAAAAATGACCAAACGTCAATAGCCCAACATTAGCCACCTTTAGCTTAGCGGTGGTGACGTGAAGTCATGTGACCGTGCTGTAGTTCCTTTATAGCCCAACATTAGCCACCTTTAGCTTAGCGGTGGTTACGTGAAGTCATGTGATCGTGCTGTAGTTCCTTTATAGCCCAACATTAGCCGCCTTTAGCTTAGCGGTGGTGACGTGAAGTCATGTGACCGTTCTGTAGTTCCTTTATAGCCCAACATTAGCCACCTTCAGCTTAGCGGTGGTGACGTGAAGTCATGTGACCGT